AAGTAAAGTCCAAGAAAGTGTCTTTGAACTTCCAATACTTGGGCAGAGACAGTGTTTTGAAGATGATTGTGTTCAGTGATGCCTCATTTGGGAATCTTTCTGATGGAGGTACCCAAAGAGGACACTTCATAACTCTGATGGGAGAAAATGGAAAGTTCTCACCCCTTTCTTGGCAATCTAAAAGAGTCAAGAGGGTGGTGCGCAGCACACTTGCAGGTGAAACATTGGCAATGTCTGACGGTATTGATAATGCAATCTTTCTTGCCACACTCTTTTCTGAACTGACCACTGGTGACACTAAACATGCCATGCCTATAACCTGTGTCACAGACAATCATTCACCTGCTGATGCACTGAAGTCCACAAAGTCGGTCTCTGAGAAGAGACTTTGCCTGGAGATGAGCAGCATCAAAGAACTCATCCAAACACAAAAGGTTGAGCGTGTTCTTTGGCACAACACAAAAGAGCAACTTGCGGACTGTCTTACCAAAAAGGGAGCTTCAGCTCTCCAGTTACTAGAGGCACTGAGTAAAGGACAATAGAAACTTGTTTAAGCACATAATCACTTTAAGTTACTTACAATGGCTTATGATATAATTTTATGTTGGATTTTGTTCAAAGTTAATAATGCTTTAAGTGGCTTGTGTTGTGTTATGTTATGTTATTAAGTCACAGGACTATAGTATAACTCTTTTTTTTTTTTTTTTAGTAAGAGGGAATTTTTTGAGATACAGACTTATTTTTGTACATTTTATTATTTCAGTTAACTAAGTAAACACAAACTCTTATTGTGAAGGAACGTTATTGTGAAAGGTGGAACAGGAAGTGCTGTTGTTGTTGTTGTGAATAGGTGAATGGTGAGAAGATAGCGGTTGCCAAATAAAGCCGTGGACTAAACATAAAATTTGACTCCTTATTGAGTAATAGCACGCAATGATAATGTGGAGAAAAAAAAAAACAAAACAGAATTTTTAATATTCTAAACCAACTCTCTGTGAAGCTGCTCCTCCCTGAACTCATGGGAGGTCTTTTCAAATGCAAAATACTGCACAGAGCCAGAAGGAGGGTTAAAAACAGAGAGCCTGAGATGAGGAGGTGTCGAGGGAGGAGGAAACACAGACAGATGGAAAGACAAAGAGAGAGGGGAGTGTGCCCACCAACAGCTCTGGAAAATGCAGTCCTATCAGAGTGTGGAGGTAAAAAGACATTGTTGTGGAAAATCCAGCATAAACTAAGTAAAACAAGTCACAGGAGACAGGATGAGATCTTAAGAACAGCCCGGGCGTCTTTTATTGTACAGATGAAGAAATCAGTACAGATGACAAACAGTCTCGACCAAGACCAAGGGAAGCCTCCTTAGCTTTTCTTCTAATCCCTTTTATGCTGTTAGGTGTGTGTGTGTGTGTGTGTGTGTGTGTGTGTGTGTGTGTGTGTGTGTGTGTGTGTGTGTGTGTGTGTGTGTGTGTGTGTCTGTGTGTGTGTTAAAACACAGCCGAGACCTGTATTGACCAATAACATCAGCTCCTCTCCCCGCCTTTAAAACCACCACCGGCGAGGCGTATGAAAATTTTCTTGCAGTAGTCAAAGAGATCAAGAGATGTCTGAAGACAGTAGTGCTGGACGATAATTCGATAACAATATATATCGATCGATAGACGTGTGGTGCGATAGAAAAAAAACGGGTCGATAAAAAGTTCGATAGAAAAACACAGTTTCCCTTTCTTTTTCATCATAGCCTATCATGTAGCTTTTACTACAGTCATTACTTCCTCCCAACCAATCATAAACGCAGACCCAGGTACGCTACGGCACCAAGCCCAGCCCCTCTCAAACCACAACAGACAGCACTTGTATTAGAAAAAGTGTTACAGCAAGGAGAAGCGGAGGACACTGTCCCGAAAAAAGGCTTCAGTAGTTCACCAGCATGGCAATGTTTTGGTTTTTAGAAGTCTGACAAAAAGCGAACAGCGGTCGTTTGCAAAATTTGCCGAGAAACAGAAAGTAAAAACCAAGTCTGGTAACACAACCAGCTTGTTTCACCATCTAAACCTGTCGCACCAGCAGGAGTACGAGCTGTGTCGGCCGCGCCGCGACTCCACGTCGTCGTCGGAGGAATCCTCTGGAACCGCTGCCAGCACCAGCACAAAGCAAGCGAAGCAGACCAAACTGGACTTCGTTTCTTGCCAAAAATACGACAAAGTGTCCAAGCGGCATAAGGACATCACCCATGCAGTAACATGCTTCATAGCGAGGGACATACTGCCAATAACTACTGTTGAAAAGCCTGGCTTCGACCAGCTTCTAGCCACTCTTGACCCGCGATATGAAGTGTCCGGCCGCAAGTATTTCTCAAACACAGCGCTTCAGGCATGAAAATGGGTCACTCATTAGCTTCTTAAAGTGGAAGAAAATGAGCTCATATTTTACAAAGACGTGAGTATGTGGATCATGACTACTAGCAGGGGGGGCATTCGGCAGGGGTGCAATCTACGACACAACACCGGCGTGGATAAGTCCTGCTTTTCGTGCTCAGTGTGTACGAAGTCAATCACATGATAATTAAAAAAAATAAATCTCCCGACCCCGGGAGAAATATTTCAGAGTTCAGACACCAGGCTGTGGGCAGTTTCCCACACAGTTAAAACTGGTAGTATGCTATTCCCACCTAAAGCTATTCTGTTTATTTATATATTTGTTTGTTTTGTTTATTTTCATCAAAAGACTATTTAAATATTTATTTATCAGATTTTCTGGTCACTTTCGTCTTTATGTTTGTCAGTATTTACGGACGTCACTCAGGCCACTTAAGTTGATTTCTTTTTTTTTTTTAAGTTCTTTTTTAAAAAACTTTCAGTTGTGGTAAAGTAAAAAAAAAAAGGTGGTTGAATAAAGGTTTGAATTTGAATTCAGTGCTTGTGTGTTCTTTATTAAAAGCAGGTCATTAAGCAATAGCATAAAACATCCAGGGCTGCAATTAAAATATATGTTAAACAATTATAATAATTATATCGATAATTATCGATATCGATCAATATGATTTATTTTTTATCGATATGCTTTTTTTCTATATCGTCCAGGCCTAGAAGACAGTAATGCCACATGATGGCGACACAAGGCAGCCCCTCAACAAGTGTCGCTGTAAGCACTGCAGAGGGTGTCCTGCACACTGTCTCATATAAGCACAGATGGATTTGGTGTGTGTAATGTTGTACCCACTGATAAGACAAACATCCCTTTCCACAAATAAAGACACTCACATAAAGTTGCATCTAACTTTTTTATTTTAACCCCACATGACAAAGGTGGGTTGAGTGCACAGATCACAACATAAATTACAATAATGGCATTAAAATCGGAACCATCTGTGCATAAAGGACGCATCACACTCCGTGGCCTGGCTCTTTCTTTCATAGATGTTAGCATGTAAAATAAATCTCGCTCACAAAACTAAATTTTGTAATATTTGTATGTGGGCCTAACTCCGGATTGAATATTTTCAGAATCTTAATGATGTGAGGAAGTCAGATAAACAGGTAATTTTGAATGGAAGATTCTTTTCTTATCTTTTTTTTGTTCAAATTTTCGAAGTAAATAACTCATCTGGGGCCTCATTTATGAAGCTTGCTTACGCACAAAACCTGGCTAGAAAGTGCTTACGTCACTTCTTATGCAAGAGTTGGGATGTATAAAAAAAAAACTAGTGTAGGAATGTGCGCAACTTTAAGCAAACTCCACACCTTGCTTACGCACTTTTTGGAGACAATTGGAGCAAGGTGAGAAGAATTAGTTGATGGAAAGCGCGCGTATAAAAAGCCATACAGTGACAGTCGTGCGCAATGCAGCACAATGGATGCACTTGCGCTACTCGAAGACCATGCCAGTGGACGGATCCGGCTGGAGAGGGTGTTCCAAGATCGGGAAGATTTCCTGGCTCATGATGATGAATGGCTAATAAGCCGTTTTAGACTCCCCAGAGCCTTGCTCCTGGATCTAATTGCTGAATTGAGTCCAATTTTGGAGCACCCAACACACCGGAACCGCGCCATACTGGCACACGTGAAGGTGCTGACAACAATTGGATTGTTGGCAACGGGCTCGTTCCAGAGGGAATTGTCGGACAGGTATTTATTATGACAGTTATATCACAATATAGGCGTAATTTAAATGTACAGATTCACGAAATATAAATTAATAAATTCTGTGCTAACAGGTCTGGGATCTCGCAGCCATCCCTTAGTGCCGCGCTGCCAGCTGTTTTGGACGGGATCATCCAAATGACCAGTCGCTACATCAGGTTTCCCTACACTGTTGTTGAGCAGGCCAACAGCAAAAGGCAATTTGCAGCAATGTCCGGTTTCCCTAATGTAATCGGCGCAATTGACTGCACCCACATTGCTATAAGAGCCCCCAGCGAGAACGAATTTGTTTATGTTAACCGAAAAGGTGTGCACACCATCAATGTCCAAATAATTTGTGACTCCTCAATGGTGCTCACAAATGTAGTGGCACGGTGGCCCGGCTCAACACACGATTCATTCATTTTGGCGCACAGTGGTGTTGGGAACAGACTGCAGGCAGGTGCTGCTCGTGATGGCTGGCTCCTCGGTAAGTATTACACTAACACCATAGCATTCCCTCACAACTTTATTTGCTCTGTCGGGGAAATTCTTCTCTACATTTGACCCATTCTGTTGCTGCCAGCATTACTGAGTGCCGCTCTTGGAATGCAATTGGATCCCGCTTGTTAATTACTCTGGTCATACCTTGCAGGTGACAGTGGCTACCCTCTGAGGCGGTGGCTCCTCACACCGTTTCCAAACCCGCAGATCGCAGAGGAAGTGCGCTTTAACATTGTGCACGGCCGTGCGCGCTCTGTTGTGGAGCGAGCCATTGGGTTATTGAAGAGTAGGTGGAGATGCTTGGATGCCTCGGGGGGCAGGCTACTCTACCACCCCAGAAAGGTCTGCAAAATAATACGGGCGTGTGTGGTGCTGCACAATTTAGCAGTGAGGAACGCCATCCCCCTCCAACCTGACTTCCTCCCCGCCCCACCACACGTGGACCCCGACCCACAGCCACCTCCCCGGCATGAGGAACATGAGCATGGAGCAAGGCTACGTGAGGAAGTGATGCGGCGTATGTAAAAAAGGCAAGTGCGTTTCACTTTTTTAACAACTCTTTTATTGTTTCAGTTGCCGTCGACATTATGTCACACGTTTTGTAAGACTGTGCGTATTTGTACCAGTTCCTCCCTCACTTCTCTGATGGCCCCGATCGTGTCCCTCTGTGTCTGCAGGACTTTCTCGGTGAGAACCTGGCCGCCTCCGCGCACTCTGGATCCGCTGGGCGTGCTGGGGAAAGACGGGCCTGCAGCCTGTGTGCCAGATGCGCTGGGACGCACCTCCTCTTCCTCCACCTCCTCTCCCACTGCTTCCAACTGCAAAGTGACTGAGGACACAATGCACATCATTTCTTGCCACGTGTCTTTACAAACATTTGATTCAATAAACGTGTAAAAAATTGTAACTTACCACTCTCCTCAGTCTGTACAAAATCTGTGTCCCCCTTACTCTTCGACACAATGCCACACACACCGGCACTTCCAATAACGGAGGCAATTTTGCATTGAAGTGGTGTTGGTTCCTCTGTGGTCTGGCCGCCACCTGTGTGTAAAATTTGTAGACTTTCTGCTCAGTCAAAAGTTGCAAGGTGCTGGCGACATCACAGAAAAGGAACCTGAAATGTAACAAATAGTTTCCATGTTAAATATTTCGACTACATCTTTTTGGTTTACGAACTTTCACCACATAAGCAGCGTTGGATAACTGAGCAGTTTTTTTTTTAACACATGCATGAGTGTCACACGTGCTTGTGTTTTCTGATCCTCACCTGTCGCCACCACGCTCCGATGCTGCAAAGCCACTTTTTTCTTTGCCTCAATCTTCAGATCCGACCACTTCTTCTTGATTTCGGCAACGCTGCGCTCAGTGCCAGCCGCACTAACTGCCACAGCAACGTCGTGCCATTCGGTGGCCTTTCTCTTGTTAGTGATGCCACTCGAATGGCCGCCGAATAAGGTCTCCCGTCTCGCCGCCACCTCATCTACTAGGACCTCCACCTCCGTCTCTGAAAAGTTTCTCTTTCTTCGATTTGCCATGATTGATCGGGAAATGCTGTGGATCCATCAGGCTTATTTATACGCAAATCACATTCATGAGGTAATTTGCATTGACCATACATGGTGAATTTTGGGTGTGGGAGGGCGGGGCGTGAATCAAATCCCTGCTGCGCAACTTTCCGGCTGGTCTGTGATTTATAAAGAGAAAGTGCGTGCAGGTGTGCGTAGTCAGGGTTTTATAAATCAGAATTTTTTTTGTCCTACGCACTTTTCAGCTTTTCGACTTACGTACACTTTTAGTATGGATCCTACGCCAGGTTTTATAAATGAGGCCCCTGATCACTAAAATAAGTCTTCTGGTCAGCCGTGCCACCGCTGCAGCAGCAGGACGGAGAGAGGACACAGAGACACATCAGGTGTTATGCCATAGAATGCACCCCTGCCGTAGAATGCCCCCCTGACGGGAGCGCAGTTGAAAGTACACAACAAGGCGAAATAATCCAAGTTTTCCTTACCGTTGGACTGATTCTAAAGCATGTGCCTTCAATGATTTCATTCAGGCTATTCAGATAAGCCGAAAGCAATAGCCCTCTGATTCGGAATATTTGCTGCCCCAAAAATATAATGCTCTCTACCTTGACAGCTTACTGTACAGTTTATATACCCAAGTACACCTCTGTATGTGCATTTTTAAATACCTAACAGCAGAACGAAAGTTTGCTGCTCCATTTGACAAGTTGTCATGATCCAATACTCGTGTTTTTTTAAATATGAGATTTTTTTTTTCCACTTTAAGAAGCTAATGAGTGGATGGGATGCAGGGGATGGACTCTACAACAGGGATGCATTCTACGGCATAACACCTATCAAGCTGCGCGAGGAAGAGGGAGGATAAGTGGGGAGACGAGTGAAATATCTTGTTAACTTCATCATGTGTGACTGTTTACTGGATATTTAATTTAATGTGGTTTCGGCTGTGTTATTTCGGTCGGGTGGAGTGTCCAAATGCGTGCCAAACACGCTCATCAGATAAGATATAGATCTAAATGTATGTGCTGACTCAGAATATTGGTTGTTGACGATTATTTATTGCACTGAAATGTGCCTGACACTGTGGAAACCTGCCGGTGAGGCATCGGTGATGTATGCATAATACGACGCAGGTCTACCAAAATACCACTAGACCAGCTGCGCTCCGCCTGCGATGAAAGCTGACCAGGTTCGAATTGGCAAGCTTTCAGTGCACTTTATACGCTGGTGGCAAGCACGAAAATGTCACTGCGCCAGCTTATTCTGTCGACACCTCCCCTTGCCACGCCACCACGCCCAGCTTGGCGGACCTCAGTGCGCCTCAGTCCATGAAAATACCAAACTGGCTGTACGCCAGGCTCCACCAGTAGAAAATACCACTGAGCGGGGTCCGCCACCGTCCACCGCCTCCCCAGTGGACACAAAAATAGAGCCCAATGACTCTATATTTCTTAACCTAAATGTATGAAGAGATTCTACTACACAGTCCCCCCTTTGAAAGTTCTTACTTTCATAAAAACCTGATTATCATATCAAAAACTAAATACGTGATTAAAATAAAACATGTACACTAAATTCTAAATGCTATGTGTGTGATTTGCTGCATCTACAACTTATTAATCCCACATGACATGTGACACACTAGATGTGGCATGAAACAAAAATCAAAATGCATTAACCAGTTATATGAATTATGCAGCCTTATCAAATTGTGATATAAATTCCCCTAATAATGCAAAAGTTATAAAATTGTGGTATCAATTCTCAAGAAGTGTAATAATCAACATTCATTGGGTTGAATAATAGCTCACATTAATGTTCAATTTCTTTACCATCATACCATAGCTAGGATCATTTCAAATTATATCAGCGCATAAGATTGAAAACCCCGTCGGGCTGTTTCAACAGGGAAAGAATCTTACGGCCCCGCACCCTGGCGACCATCCATGTCCTGGATACGCTGATATAATATCATTTGCATAGTAAAATTCTCAACTTCTGGTAATACCATTCATTTTATTGTAGCAACCTGCAACAAACATGTGAGGATTTTGAGGTTTATGCAGCAGTTGGGGTTCCTGTGTTCCTCTCCTCTGTGTGTGTTCTCCCTCTCTCTCTCTCTCTCTGCAGCGCTGGAGGCACGGCGGGAGGCGGGGTTGGCCCGGACTGATTACACGCACCTGATTCTCGTTGGTGTCAATTACCTGGCATATGCCAGCTCCTCTGTCAGCTCTGTGCCGGATGATTACCCAGTCATGCAACACGTGTCTTGCCACGCCGAGCTCCCTGTTCCCTGCCCGTGTATCCGGCCTGCCTCTCAGCGTTTGTTTGTGAGTTCTTTTGTTACTTTCCTGGGATTTTTTCCCTTGAGCAAAGGTGATTTTGTTTTGGTGTTTTTTCCCTCCAGATGAGAAGATTTTTGGTTTACAATTTCTGTTGCACTTTGTCTTCTTACACTCCCTAAGTTGTTACTTGCCCCATGTGGCACTAACATTTGAACTTTGTTTTTCATCAGCTATTTGCCTTGCTGCACTGACTTTTTTCTAACTCTGTTTTTGTGTTTTTTAGTGGCAGTCCAAGCCAACCATGCCTTTTCCTGGAAACTGTGATTTTCTTCTGTTCACTTTGTTTTATTGTTTATTGCTATTAATTTGGGCATTTGCCTCTGCATTTTTGGATCCTGGCCTTTGTTCGGTTCCTAACAAAGTCCCTTGATTAGTATGTGATTAACCCCTTGATCAATGTGTGATTAGTGTAGTCTTTTAAACTCTGCGAATGAACCATGTTCAGTTCAATATCTCAGCTCACTGGATATGTTGTTTGTGTTGCTCAAAGTCCATTGCTCATCTTCGTCTCCTTCAAAGTCTAGCAACTGTTCAGGTCCCTCAGTCCCTCCTTCATACATCACACACTGTGCCAGCTGTTTCGGTAGTTCATGGGCCAGTGTTAGGTCCACCATAGGTCCCATCTCCTCCATCAGCTTCCAACATTGGGCTCTATTTTTGTGTCCGCCGATGAGGTGGAGGAGGGTGGTGGACCCCATGCAGTAGTATTTTCATCTGGCAGAGCCCGGCATACAGCCAGTTTGGTATTTTCTTGGACTGAGGTGCACCGAGATCCGCCAAGCTGGGCATGGTGGCGTGGCAGGGGGAGGTGTCGGCAGTGACATTTTCGTACTCGCTGGTGGCGTATAAAGTGCGCTGAAAGTTCGCTGATTCAAACCTGGTCAGCTTTCATTGCAGCTGGTCTAGTGGTATTTTGGTAGACCGGCGGCGTATCGGCATACGTCACCAGTGCCTCACCGGCAAGTTTCCACAGTTACAGGCACATTTCAGTGCAATAAATAATCAAAAACAACTAATATTCTGAGTCAGCACATACATTTAGATCTATATAGATATATTCTGATCTATTTCTGATCTGATGAGCGCGTTTGGCACGCGTTTGGACACTCCACCTGACCGAATTAACACAGCTGAAACCGCATTAAATTAAATTAAATATCTAGTAAATAGACACACATGATGAAGATAACAAGATATGTAATTCGTCTCTCTTCTTTTCCAACTTCCTCTTCCTCTTATTTCTCGTGCAGCTCGACCTGGACATGTCTCTGTGTCCTCTCCCCGTCCTGCTGCGGCGGCTGAACAGATGATTTGTTTCACTGATCAGATGAGTTATTTACGTTAACCCTACATATGAATATTCTAATATTCAGTTTTGTGAGCCAACTTTATTTTATTTGCCAACATCTAAGAAAGAAAGAGCCAGGCCACGGAGCGCGATGCGTAATTACGCACAGATGGTTCAGATTTTAATGCTATTATTGGAATTTATGATGTGATCTGTGTGCACAACCCACCTTTGTCATGTGAGGTTTGAATATGTGCAACTTTATGTGAGTGTCTTTATTTGTGGAAATGGATTTTTGTCTTACTAGTAGCTCCAACATTACACACACCAAATCCATCTGTGCTCATATGAGAGAGTGTGAAGGACGCCCTCTGCAGCGTTTACAGTGACACTTGTTGAGGAGCTGCCTCAACAAGTATGCAGTAAAGCATAGGTTTGTAAGTTAGCAATTCATGCAGTGAGAGATTTATCACAGTGCTTTTGATGGTGAAAGTTCATAAGCGCAAGTAGCAAAGCATCTTCCTATAGGTTAGTGTTAGTGCAATTTTTCTGATCTGATATATTCTTGAGAGATTAACTTTCTTCCCCAAAATGATGTACCAAATCATGCAATAACATTTCAAAAAAGTTCTGACTCCAAGATCTTTTGATGGTGTTGCTTCCATCCATCGACTGAACCCGTCATCATTACAAACATGTAACATTTCCCTTGGCAGTTTTAATCATGTCCACATAGTCTATGAATAGATGTCTAAAAGCGTCCCCCTGGAATTGGAAAAGTGTCCTACTAATGTTTTATTGGTCTCTTCAATTGATCTGAAAACACATATCACAATGACCTAAGAGTTTATCAACTATTGTCAGCATATTCTAAAAATCTCATGTTTTAATTGTCTCATTATCTCCCCCCTTGCACCATGTGAATCACTGTGCAAGTCAGATCCTGAGTTCGTTTGTTAATACTACTGGTAGCAAAATAGTTATTTGACTTTAAAACATTTTCTGTGGCCTTATTGGCCTTTGATAGCTTCCCAATACTTTACATTAGGTGACATATCTGTGAGGAGTGTATGCGGATTCAGCACAGCCATATTTGGATTTATCAGTTTTAAACTAACAGAATAGGAATGTTACACCCTAGATCTCAATTAGCACTGCGGTTTTTAGTAGGCCTCTCAAAATTTGCTTCCCTCCTCAGCTGCTCGCTTTAGAGGATGTATTACTCAATATGACAGTCACACATCAGCCTCAGGTCCCATTACACTGGACTCAAGGACACACCATAATGTTTTCATCCAGCTTCTCCTCAGTACATCTTACTATGTGATGGGTCAAAAACATCTTTCAATAACACCTGGACATTTGGGATTTAAACCATAATATATACTTTATTATAGCAATATGACCTAGCTAATATACCTTTGCATATTCAGTCAAGATATTTACTTAAAACTATAAACCATAACTGTCGTCATACACACCTTGCGGTGAGCACCAAATTTGGATGTTACTTCTACATAGGGCTTTTTGGTCTATAAGGTCAAAAGGGGTTAAAATTAAAACTAGCAATTAACTCTCTCCATCATCCACAAAAATCACACTGTAGTAAGCCACCACTTTCACATTGTCTGGGCTGGGGCCCCCACCACATCTCCAGCCAGAGGCATCCCCGGTGTCCCCCTTAGATGTGGCCACTATTGCAGCCTGAGTCTGTACTTTGTTTCTGCTTCGCAGTTCTCCCAGCTGTAGCTGTATCAACTTCCGCTGAATGTTCTTTTCCTGCTCTTTCAGTCTCCACTCTTCATCTCGTAGCGCCCTCCACATCACATCACAATATGCATTGAACTCACTCCCATCTATCATGGGATTCATCATCAAACCTTGTTTTGGCTTGTGCAGAAACTCCTCGATCGTCTTCGTTCCCAGCAGTTGAGCCAAGAGTGCTTTCATGTCTGGTGTAGTCAACATTTTCCCTACAGTTCATCCTCAAAGACTGATATCCATCTCCCTGCCCCCTGTTCAGTTTGTGGTAGTCTGGCAATCAGCCCAGCAAGGCATGTGGTTTTCCACGGCACATAGCTAGCCTGTGTGCCCTTTATTAAGATTGAAAACATACTATCAGTGCATTTTCAGGTGAACATAATCTAGGCCTATATCTAAGATCACATTTTGTGCAGGATCACATGATATTTGCAGGCCCTGCTTCTTACCTAAGCTGGGAAGTATTTGTGCTACTACTACTTGTACTATTGGGTGACAGAGTTCACGTGGCAAGTCTATGTTATTGTTACCCAGATTAAACCAATATGACTGTTCAGCATTATCAGCATTATCATTCACATAACAATTACTTACAATCATTACTTGGGGAATTGGGCAAAGGTTTGTTGTGGGCTTTGTCTCCCTCAGCAAACTCAAAATCACAAATTATTTTAACCTCCCTTAACAGAGAAGGATAATTTCCTCTGTTTTCTGATACTGGATTTGGCTGCAAAATCTCCTTTCTGTTTTACCTATTTTCCATGTTTGTGACTTTCTTTTCTCCACCTTCTCCTTATTGCTTTCTAGCTCTGAAAAGCCAATCTTTAATTTATTCATAAACAGTGTTGGCCTTCACTTTTGAACATGTCCAGTAATTTTAGTTCCAAATCTCTTGTTTTTGCATTTTTCACTTTTATCTTTGTGTTTATAGTCTTTAATTTGCTGCTCCAAATCCTAACACACAGTCACATCAGATGTGCCTCCTCTAGGTCATTCTAACTCCATGACTCAATAATCCCATTTCTTTGTAAGTTTTTGGGTATCAGTGTTCAGGAGCTCTACACCCTACCAAATGCAGCTGGAGTTAAACTAATTTTCCCTTTCTGGTCATGGTTTTTGTAGAATTTATTATTTCAGTTGAATTACTTTGATCAGCAGTGTTTCAGTAATCCTATTTTTCCTTGCTTTCTTTTTATTTTTGGAAAGAAAACAATTATTATTATTATCATTATTATTGATTTTAATTCTTAAGTTTGAGTTAAAATATTCGCACTATGGAAAACATCACTTTGCTTCTCTGTCCCTTTTCACACTTAACCCTTCCGGGTCCCTGTGGCCGAATTCGGCCATTTGACGAAAAAACAAGAGACTTATTTGGATATATTTTTTTTTTTACTGCAGCAAATGTGATGAATTTTTTTTTCTAAGCTTAATTTGAAATTCTACTCGAAAACATGAATTCAACATTTTCACCAGGTCAATAATAAAGCCAGGACAAATTTTCCCCCTCCAGAGTCCCTCGTGGCCGAAAAAAGCCACTTTTTTTGTCGGCTGTAAAATCATATTGGATTAATATTTTTTTCTGATTTTTTTTCACACATCTCTTATTTTACTTCTGCCCTGTTCGAAACTAGCAAATGTTTCATTTTACTTCTGCCCTGTTCAAAACTAGCAAATGTTTCTTTGAAAATAAAAATTTTCACCCTTTAAGGGCCCATTTAAGACAAAAAGTCTCTTATGAAGCAAATAAGGTCATTTTCCTTCCATTTTCCTTCCATTTTTTTGCTTCATAAGAGACTTTTTGTCTTAAATTGGCCCTTAAAGGGTGAAAAAAAATTTTTCAAAGAAACATTTGCTAGTTTTGAACAGGGTAGAAGTAAAATAAGAAATGTATGAAAAAAAATCTGAAAAAAATATTAATCCAATATGATTTTACAGCAGACAAAGTAGTTTTGGCCACTGAGGGGCGCCAAACGCAGTTTTTCATTAAATCTGATGCTACAGAAAAACCTTAAAGGCATCTAAGTCAATGATATTACTAATCTCTGACATATTCAAGACTCTGATACCCTGCTAGAGATTACCAGTTTCTGATCATGTTTTATTAAAAAAATGGGTCGTTTTCCTTCATTTTCCTTCCGTTTTTTTTGCTTTTTAAGTGACTTTATGTCTTAAATTGGCCCTTACAGGGTTAAAATTTTTATTTTCAATGGAACATTTGCTAGTTTTGAACAGGGCAGAAGTAAAATAAGAAATGTATGAAAAAAAATCTGAAAAAAATATTAATCCAATATGATTTTACAGCAGACAAAGTAGTTTTGGCCACTGGGAGGCGCCAAAGGCAGTTTTTTATTAAATCTGATGCTAAAGAAAAACTTAAAATGCATTGAAGTCAATTATATTACTAATCTCTGACATATTCAAGACTTAAATACCCTGCAAGAGATTACCAGTTTCTGATCATGTTTTATAAAAAAAATGGGTCATTTTCCTTAAAATTTTCCTTCCATTTTTTTTTTTCTTTTTAAGTGACTTTATGTCTTAAATTGGCCCTTAAAGTGTTAAAATTTTTATTTTCAATGAAACATTTGCTAGTTTTGAACAGGGCAGAAGTAAAATAAGAAATGTATGAAAAAAAAATCTGAAAAAAATATTAATCCAATATGATTTTACAGCAGTCAAAGTAGTTTTGGCCACTGAGGGGCGCCAAACGCAGTTTTTCATTAAATCTGATGCTACAGAAAAACCTAAAAGGCATCTAAGTCAATTATATTACTAATCTCTGACCTATTCAAGACTCTGATACCCTGCAAGAGATTACCAGTTTCTGATCATGTTTTATAAAATAATGGGTCATTTTCCTTTAATTTTTTGCCCTATTAGTGACTTTTTGTCTTAAATTGGCACTTAAAGGGTTAAAAAAGATTGTTTTCAATGAAACATTTGCTAGTTTCGAACAGGGCAGAAGTAAAATAAAAGATGTGTGAAAAAAAATCTGAAAAAAATATTAATCCAATATGATTTTACAGCAGACAAAAAAAGTGGCTTTTTTCGGCCACGAGGGACTTTAGAGGGAAGTCAATCTAAAGAGCCCGGAAGGGTTAAACACTTTCAGTTACCCTTTGTCTGATCTCTAATCCAGAACACACAGTCACCCATTGCCACAGATAAAGGGAAAAAAAAGGACAAAACAGATCCGACACAAAGTCAGGATCTTTCTCTGCATGTCGCACCATTTTTCCAAGCCTTGCCTCACTTCAAACTATGTCACAATCAAAGACACAATATTCTCAGTGTCAGTCTTTTACACATTCACTAATCAAACAGTACAATGCCACACCCTACTTCAATCTTAACTTGCGTCACCATTCAACACTTCAAAACTTCTTCAAATGAACACCCACACCAAAACCCAATCACCAGCAGTTTTGTAAAATTCTCAGAAAATTACACAGTACAAAAGCTTTTGCATTAACTAAAGTCTCACAGCAATAGTCAGTATTGGTATCAACAGCTATACAAAAAAAGTATAATCAGATATGTATTAGTGACTCATTATAATTATTCGGCCCTCTAGAGTCTGGATCAGACTTTTCTGAGGAAATATGTCACTTTTGTTCTCCTTTTGGCTTTTTCTGAAGCCTCAGTAGAAGTCTGCATGACAAATCCTCCTTTCTAGTGGAGTTTTCCAGAAAGAAAATCCACGTATGTATTTCTAGATGAATCTGCTCGTCTGTCGGCTACCACCTTTCAGAGCTCACAAAAGAATGACCTAAAACTCACAGTTCAACAATGGACAGACACACTTGTGCCCGCCGCTCCCCTTGTTATCTCAACAATTATCCAGACCTCCTTATCACCAGGCATTCAGCCTAAAAACGAACACATCACAGCCCGGGCCAGGCTGTCTGCAGACCAGTCTCAACCCAACTACTGGCCTATGCTCCTTCGCACCCAGTCTAGAAAGCTTCAAATACACCGGTCTCCCCTAAACTACTGGCCTATGCCGCTTCGCACCCAGTCTAACTAGCTCCACACAACTACTGGCCTGTGCCGCCTAGCACCCAGTCTAACTAGCTCTACACAACTACTGGCCTTATGCTGCTTAGCACCCAGTCTACTAGTTCCACACAACTACTGGCCTTATGCCGCTTCGTACTCAGTCTAGCTAGTCCCACACACTACTGGCCTTGTGCTGCTCCGCACCCAGTCTGGCTAATTCCACACAACTACTGGCCTTGTGCTCCTCCGCACCCAGTCTAACTAGCTCCACATATAACGGTCTCACATAACCCACTGCAGTTTCCCTTATATTCAGCTGATATATATCCAATTTTAATTGGCTTCCTTTCCTTTTCCCAAATTTAGCACATTTTGATCAGCTGACTGCATGCATGCAGTTTTCTCAGACTGTCTTCATTCCCACTGTCTCCTCTGATTTCTATTCTAGGTTCTTTGATTTGAAGAGGACAGAGAACAGTAGTCTGCACCACCTCACAGGGAAAAGAATGCTCAAATAAATTTTAGGAAATCTTCAACCTTTTTCTTTTTGTGCGCACAGAGTGTCCACATCCCATAAGAAGTCCGCAGAGTCACAGTCCCTTGTCCCCCGATACGAATTCTGGCTAAGGCTCACCATTATGTTGTGTAAAATCCAGCATCAACTTAGTAAAACAATGCACAGGAGACAGGATGAGATCTGAAGAACAGCCTGGGCATCTTTTACTGTACAGATGTAGAGATCAGTATCCTACAGATGACAAACAGTCTCGACCGAGACTGAGGGAAGCCTCCCTAGCTTTTCTTCTACTCCCTTTTATGCTGTTAGGTGTGTGTGTGTGTGTGTGTGTGTGTGTGTGTGTGTGTGTGTGTGTGTGTGTGTGTGTGTGTGTGCGTGTGTGCGTGAGTATTGTCATTATGGGTATGTCATATCAATTCTCCAGATGGCTACCCATGATGCAGAGAAGAGATTCTCATACAACATCCATTAGTGAAAATGTATTTGGGAATAATTGTTGACTGGCACAAAGGAAGATGGGTTCTAATTTTGTGGCTTTTAGTTCTAATTATGTTTATTTTTGTTTTTTTTAAACAAAAGAACAACTGGGCTTTAGCTGTGTTGCTTTGAATTCTTGCTTGCAGGCATCAAACCCTCATGAAACATTAACTTAAACTGCATGTCTGAAGCCAACTAGCAACATGGGAAAATGAAAAACACAGCGTGAGCCTGAGTCTGAAAATCAGCTCATTAATAACATAGGATATCAGTGTTGTGTTTCCACATAAAGGCCTGTAGGATCTAATGTAAGGGTCTGCTTTATGAGGGTGTTTTTAGAGACTGTAGGCCAACCCTGTGCCAGGACATAACTACATGTACACACACACACACACACACACACACACACACACACACACACACACACACACTAATACATGTATTCTACTATCTTTGCCCCTAAAAGAAAAGAAGTTTCTGAAGAAGACTGAGGGCTCTATTTCCGTGCCTCGCCAGGGACGTGCCGCAGGCGCGGCATAAGTCAGGTCCCCATGCTGGCAAGGCGTTCCCAAGCACAATTTGGTATTTTGGTGAGCGGCGCAGCCCGGCGTAAGTAATCCCCTCCCTAACTCAGCTCCTCCCAGTGGCGTAAGTCACAGGGAGGGAGGAGAGAGGGCGTGGAGTGGTTTTAACACAGCCAAAACCTGTATTGACCAATAACATAAGCTCCTCTCCTCACCTTTAAATCCACCACCGGCAAGGCGTATTACAATTTTGAGATGTCTGAAGACAGTAATGCCACACGATGGCGACACAAGGCAGCCCCTCAACAAGTGTCGCTGTAAGCACTGCAGAGGGTCCCTGCACACTGTCTCATATAAGCGCAGATGGATTTGGTGTGTGTAATGTTGTACCCACTGGTAAGACAAACACCCTTTTCCACAAATAAAGACACTCACATAAAGTTGCATTTAAATTTTTATTTAAACCCCACATGACAAAGGTGGGTTGTGTGCACAGATCACAACATAAATTCCAATAATGGCATTAAAATCAGAACCACCTGTGCGTAAAGGACGCATCGCGCTCCGTGGCCTGGCTCTTTCTTTCATAGATGTTGGCATATAAAATAAATTTGGCTCACAAAACTGAATACTATAATATATGTATGTGGGCCTGACTCCAGATTGAATATTTACAGAATCTTAATGATGTGAGGAAATCAGATAAACAGGTAATTTTGAGTGAAAGGTTCTTTAATTTTATTTTATATTTTTTGTTCAAATTTTTGAAGTAAATAACTCATCTGATCACTAGAATAAATCATCTGGTCAGCCGTGCCACTGCTGCAGCAGCAGGACGGAGAGAGGACACAGAGACACGTCAGGTGTTGTGCCATAGAGTGCACCCCTGCCGTAGAATGCACCCCCTGATGGGAGCGCGGTTGAAAGTACACAACAAGGCGAAATAATCCAAGTTTTCCTTACCATTGGACTGATTCTAAAGCGTGTGCCTTCAATGATTTCATTCAGGCTATTCAGATAAGCCGAAAACAATAGCCCTCTGATTCAGAATATTTGCTGCCCTGAAAATATAATGTTCTCTGTGGTGAGACACCTCCTCCTCTTGTTTTATTTTGGTTGGACTTCCTGTTTTTCTTTGTTTGCCTGGTCTGGCTTGACTCTCTTCCAGAGCACCCTACCCCTCCCCGGTCACTGAGGCCGAGTTAGACTCCACACCTGCACTGAATCTGCAATCAAGGCCTTTAAGAAGCCAGCAGCCCTCAGTCTCAGCGCCTGAGTATTGTCTTCACTCCCAAATGGTACAGACGTTTCTCCCCGCCTTCTCCTCAGCTAAGTGCTAAGTAATTTTGCTCCCTGTGATTCTTTGTATGTCTCCTTACCTCCTTCTCCTCTGCTTCTCAACAGTGTCTAGCCCACACAACAGCCAGCCAGCCAACCGGACTTTCTCTCGTGCCTTTTTTCTCTGTGTTTTTGGACATTAAATTACACCTTTAATTTGCTATCTGCCTTTGTGTCTGCTTCTGGGTCCACAAAATACACCACACGCCACAGAATACTCAGGCCAGGAAAATGGACCCAGCAACATGAGGACATGCTCCAGGGCCTCAACCAAGCCTTTCAAGGCCTCACCGTTCAAGTAGCGCAACTGGCGGATCAACTCCTCTCCAGGCTCCCCCCACAGCAATCTAGGTCTCCCCACTCTGTGAGTACGGCCCCCTCTTTACCCTCTCCTGTCTGCAAAGAGCCTTATGTCCCTCCTCCTGAGCCGTATGCTGGGGAGATTGGGGGCTGCAGAGGTTTCCTGCTCTGCTGTACCCTTGTCTTTGATCAACAGCTTATTAGTTACCCATCAGATGAATTCAGAATAGCCTACACTGTCAATCTGTTGAGAGGCAAAGCTGCTAAGTGGGCGACTGCCGTTTGGAAAGAAGATTCACCTATGTTGTCCTCAAATGCCAGATTCACTGAGGAACTTCGCAAAGTCTTTGATAATCCTGTCGAGGGACCTTAATGTACCAAGCGGTTGTTTTCCCTCTACCAGGGCTCTCGGTCTCAATTGAGTTCTGCACAGTGGCAGCCGAGAGTGGGTGGGGAGAACTTGAGTTAAAGGGTATATTTTCTCGTTATCTGTCCCAACAGCTAAAGGATGAATTAGCTGCTCATGACGAGCCATCCTTACTTGAGGAGCTAATTTCTTTAGCTATACGTTTGGATAATCGCCTCAGGGAGAGAGAGAAAAGAAACTAAACACTCCTCCCCATAGTTTAGATTCCTCATCCTCCTGCACTTTCAGCGGGTCTTCTCTGCAGCCCTCAGCTCCTCTGGCTCTGGCGCCCTCAGCTGGAGAACCCATGCAAATCAGCCACACCTCCTCTACCTCCAGCTCTCCCAGACGTATCTCTGTACCTGCCTGTCTCTTGTGGGGGAAGGGATCCACGTCACTCCAAACCCTTATTGACTCTGGAGCAAACGACAACTTCATTCATGCTGGGTTGGCGGCGCGGCTACAGCTCCCCCTGGAAGCGCTTCCTGCCCCCATAAGGTCACCGCTCTTGAAGGCAGGGTTATAGCCACCATAACCCACTGCACTGCTCCTCTGACCCTCATCCTTTCGGGAAACCATCGTGAGGACATCCGGTTGTTCATGCTTCCCTCTCCGCATTCACCCCTCGTGCTTGGACTCCCGTGGCTGCAAATCCATAATCCCCAGATCAAGTGGTCCACAGCTTCAATCTCCGCCTGGAGTCCTCACTGCCACTCTCATTGCCTCTGCTCGGCCCCTTTGCTCAGACACCTGGATCCCTCTCTCCAGTTCATGGTGGAGGTCGACGCCTCGGACTCCGGAGTGGGGGCCGTCCTCTTACAGAGGGATACCGAGACCCAGAAGCTCCATCCTTGTGCCTACTTCTCCTGGAAATTCTCACCCACCGAACTAAAGTACAACGTGGGAAACCATGAGTTGCTGGCTGTTGTGTGGGTACTCCAAAAATGGAGACACTGGCTGGAAGGAGCGCAACACCCATTCCTCATCTGGACTGACCACAAGAACCTTCAGTACCTCTTTTCTGCTCGACGCCTCACTCCAGGCAAGCCCGCTGGTCCCTCTTCCTCTGCAGATTCACCTTCACCCTCTCCTATGGTCCTGGCTCCCGCAACCTCAAACCTGACGCCCGATCCTGGATCTACTCCTCAGCTACATCGGACCCCAGCGAACCGGACACCATCCTCCCTGCCTCCTGTGTCGTCGTCTCTGCCTCTTGGAAAATCAACACCATTGTGAACCAGGCCCTCCGGAAACACCCGGACCCTGGAACCGGCTCTCCTGACAGAAAATTTGTCCCTGAGGTTGCACGTTCCCAGGTCCTACAGGTGGGGCACTCCTCTTGACGCACCTGCCACCCCTGGATTTCAGCGGACCCTCCAATTCCTTCAGCAGTGGTTCAGTGGCCGGGATGGTCCGGGACGTACAGGCGTTTGTTGCTGCCTGCTCCATCTGTGCCCGAGGTAAAGCCACCCACCAACCTCTGGCTGGCTTGCTGCGTCCCCTGCCTGTGCCCTCACACCCCTTGTCTCACATAATTCTAGATCGCTTCAGTGGTCTCCCCCCTTCTGAAGGTAACACTGTCATACTCACCATCATAGACAGGTTTTCCGAATTTGTGCATTATGTCCCGTTACCCAAGCTCCCCTCTGCTCTAGAAACTGCTAATCTCCTAGTGTCTCATGTGTTCCAACTTCATAGTATCCCCCTTGACATAGTGTCAGATCATGGTCCCCAGTTCTCCTCCCAGGTCTGGAAAGCTTTCTGCCAGGCAGTGGGCGCAGCATCTAGCCTCTCCTCGGGCTACCACCAGCAGACCAACGGCCAAACCTCAAGTCAGCTTTGCGGTGTGTTGCGGCCCATCATCCAGCATCCTGGAGTACACACCTCCCATGGATCCAGTACGCCCATAACTCCCTCACCTCCTTGGCCACAGGTATGTCGCCCTTTACGTGCTGTTTTGGTTACCAGCCCCCCCTGTTTCCCGTACAGGAGCACCCGGTGGCCATCCCGTCAGTGAGGGAGCACATTGGGCGCCTACGGGAGGTGTGGAGATCTGCCAGGGCCCGGCTGAGCGCAACAAACACCTGGTTGATGTCCATTGATGTCTCCCCTGCACCAGACTATCGTCCCGGTCAGATGGTCTGGTTATCGTCCTGTGACCTTCCCCTGCAGACCGAGTCCCGCAAGCTATCTCCCCGCTTCATTGGTCCCTTCCTGATCCACAAGATTATTAACCCCTCGGCGGTAAGACACAAACTTCCCTCATCCCTCAAAATTCACCCCATGTTTCATATCTCCCTGATCAAGCCTGTCACCTTGTGCACCCTGAGCCCTTCTTCCATCGCCCCTCCACCCCCCCGGTTGATTGACGACCACCCTGCCTTCACTGTGGGACGAATCCTGGATGTTCGGCCCCGGAGCCGAGGCTTCCAATACCTGGTGGATTGGGAGGGTTACGGGCCAGAGGAGCGGTCCTGGATCTCCTGCTCCCTCATCCTGGACCATCAGCTCCACAACAACTTCAACGCCGTTCACCTCAACAAACCTGGCAGAACACCAAGAGGCGTTCATTGAGAGGGGGGTGCTGTGGTGAGACGCCTCCTCCTCTTGTTTTATCTTAGTTGGACTTCCTGTTTTTCTTTGTTTCTTGGCTGAGTGAGACTGAGTGATTGACTTCACTCCCAAATGGTACAGACGCTTCTCCTGGCCTTCTCCTCGGCTAAGTGCTAAGTAATTTTGCTCCCTGTGATTCCTTGTATGTCTTCTCACCTCCTTCTCCTCTGCTTCTCAACAGTGGCTCCAGCCCAGCCTTTTTTTCTGTTTTTGGACATTAAATTACATCTTTAATTTGCTATCTGCCTCTGTGTCTGCTTCCTTTATATACCCAAGTACACTTCTGTATGTGCATTTTTTAAATACCCCAAAACAGGACGAGTGTTTGCTGCTCCATTTGACATGTTGTCATGATGCAATACTCGTGTTTCTTATAAATATGAGAGAATTTTTTTTTCCACTATAAGAAGCTAATGAGTGGATGGGATGCAGGGGATGCATCCTACGTCAGGGGTGCATTTTACGGCATAACACCTATCGAGCTGCGTGAGGAAGGAGGATAAGCGGGGAGATTAATTAAATATCTTGTTAACTTCATCATGTGTGACTGTTTACTGGATATTTAATTTAATGGGGTTTCAGCTGTGTTAATTCATTCAGGTGGAGTGTCCAAACGCGCTCATCAGATAAGATATAGATCAGAATATATCTATATAGATCTAAATGTATGTGCTGTATAGCAGATGACTGGTTTCTGCTCTCTCATCTTTAATTCACCCTTAAAGGAATGCAGTGACTCTGGTCACTAAAAGAAGATGGGGGAATTTACACACCAAACCATGGTCTTTTACAACCTCCTGTCTGTGGGAAACTAACCAAGAGGTGATCCCCCAAAAGTCAGACAGGACCCCAGACTGGATAAACATTCACCCCTCTGCTCTTGGCTGGAGACTCTCAAATTTGACACTTTATCTTTAAAGGTACCTTAGTAGATCATGAGAACTCAACTCAAGAGTGCATCAAAAGCATTCATCTGTGTAACAGACCACAGCCATAAATCTTCAGAGTGGCTGTGTTTCCTGTGACTCTCTTTAGGTGCAGAATAAAGAAAATAACTGCAAATGATTCAATTTCAGGTTTAATGGACACTTCACCAGGATTTTCCATCTGTACACCACATCGGCAGTGAAACAGTCTTTGTCCCATTTGTTTAGCATGTTTATAAGCCAAACTGCTAACTCCACAAATTTGTTCTAGGTTTTCGATGGACCAAGAGCTCCTGTTACATGTGCATTTACAGAATATGCCACACTAATATCTGTTTTCTTTGAGGCACTCCTGAGGACTCCTTTGTGGCACTTGCTGGCCTCCATATGCTGGCTCCACCAGATAATCGAGCTGATCGCCTGCACCTGTGGGCAGTCTATAAAAGCCAAGGGAGACTCTTCCACGCTCTCTCTCAGCCTGCAGCCAGACCAGACATGCTGTCCCAGCTCCCATACCTTCCATTGTTTTTTTTAGATCTTGTAAATAAATGCTTTGGAGAAAACTTTGAGTTGTTTCAGCTCCCTTATGTTGCTTCCCCTGAGCCAGGGGAAGCAACATATTGGGGGCTCGTCTGGGATAGATTAGGGATTGAAGCCAGATTAGTTGAGTTTGTTGTATTTTCCCTAGACTGGCAACTTTTCTTTTTTCATTGGTGAGCTGTTCAAATCATGTGGTCATGTGCTGCTTTGTTCCTCTCTTCTGGTGAGCATGTGGTGAGTATAGTTCTGAGTATATTAACATTATGCATACGTAATCTTCCCTGGTTGGGTTAGGAGGGGCTAGCTGGGCTGATTTATATTGTCCTTCCTTCAGCCTCTCATTTGTTATTTTTCTTTTTTATTTTTGGTGGCAAACTCTGAGGAGGGACTGCATCAGACATTGTCAGTATGTCTGGTGATGGTTCGAGCTCGGCAAGCCATTGAAGATCGTCAGGATTAAGCTTAAAACAGGTAGGGAACCAGTGGGGGTTTACTTTGTTAATATACTTGGGGCTTGCTTGCTGTGCTCACCAGTTAAGGTTTTGATAAGTTAGGTGAGTTTAACTTGGTGCTCCTTTTGAGTTGGAGGCCATAGTAGTGGTGTGTCCATGATCCTAACTTGTGTTATGTGCAGTTTTGTTTAGTCAAGTGTTCTTGACTTTGTGTAGGCTAGTTTACCTGACTTTAGAGTTGCCTTTGTGTACTACATTCTACCAGTGTTTCCTATTTGGTTAATATTGTGCTAATTTGTGTTGTGACAGGTATTTTGTAGGCCTACTTTTGTGATTGTGGCTCTGGTAGCCATTTTGTAGAGAGAGTTTTTGATCTGTAGCTGCTTCTGCTGTGTTGGACACTTTTGAGGCCTTGAGCCTATTTGTCTTGTTTGTGGGTGACCTGTTGTAGCTAACTGTTTTGTTTAGCTTGAATTTAGTTTTTTGTACAGTTATCTAGGATGGCCACCCCTGATGACTTTATTAGTGCACCCTCTGAAGAGTTGCTTGACAACTTAACAAAAGATCAGCTTTTAAAAATTGCTGAATTATGAAGTCAAAATTTGTAGTAGTGACAAAAGCTTAAAGAGCACCAGAGATGCCCTTAAGGCTGCTTTGATTGAAAATGGCATCCTTAAATCTACACCTTTTGTCTCCATCTAGAAGTCCACCTCCTGAATTATCAGATCCTGCTATTGAATTAAGACGTAGAGATCTGGCTTTAAAAGAGCTAGAGTTGCAGGAAAGACAGAAAGATAGACTGTTAAAAGAAAAAACAAATGCACCTGGAACATGAACAATTTCTTAAAGAAATGGAACTTAAGCATGCCTCACTTCTACACTCTGTCCAGGTCGAACAATCTAGTTTTGATGTAGTTAAACACATTAGACTTGTTCCTCTTTTTGTTGAGAAAGATGTTGAAAAGTATTTTTCACATTTTGTACGTGTAACTACCATCTCAAAATGGCCGAAATATGCCTGGACTCTACTTTTACAAAGTGTGTTGGTAGGAAAAGTACAAGAGGCTTTCTCCTCTTTGAGTATTGATGATAGTGTAGACTATGACAAAGTTAGAGGTGCAATATTAAAAATGTATGAACTTGTTCCTGAAGCTTATCAACGTTTCAGGAGTCTCAACAAGCTTGATCAGCAAACTTATGTTGAGTTTGCTAAAGAAAAAGAGACGCTATTTGATAGGTGGTGCAAATCCCAAAATGTGGAAAACAAGGAAGACCTTAGACAACTCATGTTGCTGGAAGAATTTAAAAACTCTTCCTGAAGCTGTTTGTATTTACCTTTTAGTGAACAAAAAGTAACGACTCTCGACTAAGCTGCAGTCCTTGCAGATGAGTTTATTTTGACGCACAAGCTTAACTTTGACAAAGAACAGAATAAACGGAAAGAAAAAAACTGTTTTTTACAGAGCTCGTTCCTCAACGCAAGTTTCCCCTATAGTTTCTACATCCAAAGAGGCTTCTGGAAGTGCTTTTGCAGAAAAAGCTTGCTTCTACTGCAAGAAACCTGGTCATCTTATTGCTGAGTGCCCTGTTCTGAGCAAGAAACAAAAGTCTTTCAAACCTGTAGCCTTCATAAAAGCTATAAAAGAGCCCTCTTCATTTTCCACTGTTCAGCATTCGTCTGAAAAGGTTCAGTTGGCTGGTTCCTCGTCTTTCCTTATGGATGGTTATGTTTCCCTCTGTTCTGATCCAGAAAGTAAGAAACCCATTAAAATCTGGAGAAACTCCGGAGCTTTACAGTCCCTGATTCTTCAGGACTTTTTGGAGTTTTATGATGAGTCCTCTTTAGGCTCTAATGCTCTGATTGAAGGTTTTGGTGGTTATTTGTCATTGCCCATGCATCGTCTTAACCTCCAGACCTCCATAGCATCAGGTGAAGTCGCTGTTGCTCTGTGTTCCCATATTCCAATTAATGGTGTGTCCTTTATTTTGGGAAATGATCTTCCTAGTGATAAAGTAGTGGCTGTTCCTGAAGTGACTCCGGTTCCTCTGGTGACTGAAATTTCAGATGATCTAGAAAAGCGTTATCCAGATACCTTCTCTGTTTGTGTGAGTACCCATGCCATGTCAAAGAGAGAAAAAGACAAAGGATGTGACGCTGACCTTGACCTTTCTGACACCATTTTAGCTAAAGATGTGACATTAGGGTTCAACAATGTTTTCCCCTCACGTGAAGAGCTAAAGGTTGCACAGAGTAGTGAGAAAACTCTGTCTTCCCTCTTTGAAGAGGCTGTTGATGAGGAGACAGTTAAGGATGTTTCTTGTGGTTACTTTGTAGATGATGGAATACTGATGAGAAAGTGGACCCCTCCTAGCGTGTCTAGTCAGGATGATTGGAGAAGTGTGTTTCAAGTTGTAGTTCCAAGTGTTTACCGTCCTGATATCTTGAGTTTAGCTCATGATCATTGCCTTGCAGGACATATGGGAATTAAAAAGACGTCAGATCGTGTTCTGAGGCATTTTTTTTGGCCTGGGCTAAAAACGGATGTGACACAGCACTGTAAAACTTGTCCTGTGTGTCAGACTGTTGGTAAACCTAACCAGAAGATTCCTCCAGCACCACTTAACCCCATTCCTGCTATTGGGGAACCTTTTGAGCGTATCATAGTTGACTGCGTTGGTCCTCTTCCTCGTACCAAATCTGGTAACCAGTTCCTGTTGACCATAATGTGTGCTGCCACTAGATTCCCTGAGGCTGTTCCTCTTCGCAGGATTACAGCCTCATCAGTTTCTAAAGCCCTTAAGTTCTTCACATTGTTTGGTCTTCCTAAAGTTATTCAGACTGACCAAGGGTCAAACTTTATGTCTCGTATTTTTGCTCAGGTACTTCAGCTGTTGTCTATTCAGCATTGTACATCTTCTGCGTACCATGCAGAATCGCAGGGAGCCTTAGAGAGGTTTCACCAGACTCTTAAGACAATGTTACGTGCTTATTGTAGAGAGTCTGAGAAAGACTGGGATGAGGGAGTTCCTTTACTCCTCTTTGCAGCCAGGGAAGTGAGTCAAGAGTCTCTTGGTTTTAGCCCTGCAGAACTTGTCTTTGGCCATACTGTGCGTGGTTCCTTAAAACTTTTAAAGGAAAAGTGGTTGTCCAACCAGTCCTCTTCTACCAACCTTTTGGATTTTGTGTGTAGTTTTAGGTCAAAGCTTAGAAAGGCCTGTGAGCTGGCCAAGCAGAACTTGAGTGAATCTCAAGCCAGAATGAAAGGGTGGTATGATAAG